TGCCACTTTTCCGACCACTGCATCAGTCTATTCAAATCATCCTGGAGTGCTCTAATGTCCTCATTAGAATGAATTGGACGGCCTATTTTGGTGTCATCAGCAAATTTGCTTATGTCGCTATTTATTAACTCATCTGTGTCATTTTTGTAGATTACGAACAACAAGGGGCCCAACACTGACCCCTGTGGAACACCACTTGTGATGTGCCCCCATTCTGATTTCTCCCCATTTATAGCAAACTCTGCTACCTATTTGTCAACCATGCCTCTACCCAGGAAAAAATTTCTCCTTCTATTCTGTGTGAGAGGGGTATCATTGACCTTTGAGAGGCTTGATCTTTCATGGGTTTTCTTTCCAACAAAAGAAAAGAAGCTAACAGATGAAATTGAAGTAAATGTGGGGCTAGTAACACTTTCTACTGTATAAATTACTAAGTGTAAAAAGAAGAAAAATTTTCATTTCTTGATTTACGGGCCACCTTGTCTCGGTGGGAGACAGCCAGTGTGTTAAAAAATGGAAATTTGACTTTAAGTAATGTTTATGTTTGGTTGAAGTGTAGGACAGTGCTGGTGGTTAACATACATAAAATGTTAATAGTCATTGAAATTAGAAGTTACTTTTAGTTTTTGTTTCTCCCAGAAGCCAAATACTGTATAGAGAGCACTATTGTATTGTACTAAATTAGCAAAATCACCTATCAATCAGGACTGAGTAAATTTAGATTTTTAAGATGTACTGTGTATATTTTTTCCTCAGCTACATGGGAACTAGAAGGAATTTGGCACAAGACTGGGGGAATACTACCCATTGCCCAGAAATTTGTTTCCACTACAGGAAATTTCTTCATAGGCCACGAAAAGCTAAAATTCCAACTAGCTTCAGAATATGGTAGAGATCATACTCAGATAAATTTGTTGTCACTTGCTGTAGATTCTTCTACAATACTGGAAACAAGGAAAGGAAAAAACTAAGGGTTATGTATGGCTTGAGGTAAAGTGCATTTATTTTTATTGAATAGATTTTAGCAATTTCAGTATGCTATATTAAAATTCAGTTTTGTAAAGTTGATATACAGTGGTACCTCGGGATACGAACTTAATTCGTTTGGGGGAAGCTGCTTGAGTGCTGATACCAAACTAATTTGTTTCCAAAAGGAATAATGTAAATTAGATTAATCCATTTCAGACCCTAAAAAATTTACACTTACAAAAGCACTTACATAAATACACTTACATAATTGTTCAAGTTTTGAGCTGTTCGTATCCTGTGGTACCACGTATTTTTTAAAAATTTCATATTTTTTGATTTTGTAATGAATAAATATATACATTGTGTTTTTTTTTTGTGTTGGTTGTGTGTTTATGTACTCCCTAGTTTGTACTTCCCTAGTTGTGGTTGCAGGGGCCGAGTCACAGCTCCTGGCCCTGTTTTCTTCGCTGGTCGTTACTAGGTCACTCTTTTGTTTCCATGAGCTTTATCATACCTCTTCTTAAAGCTATGTATGTATCCTGCCTCCAGTACATCACTTCCTAGACTTTTTCCATTTCCCTTTGACAACTCTGTGACTGAAGAAATACTTCCTACTTTCCCTGTATCCCTGTGATTCATCTGAGTTTTCAACTTCCAACTGTGACCCCTTGTTGCTATGTCCTATCTCTGAACATCCTGTCTGCCCACCCTTGTTGATTCCTCTCAGTATTTTATGTCATCATATCCCCCCTATCTCTCCTGTCCTCCAGTGTCGTCAGGTCGATTTCTCTAACCTCTCCCCGTGAGAATGCCCCTTAGCTCCGGGACTAGTCTTTTTGCAACCTTTGCACTTTGTCTAATTTCCTTACATGCTTGGCTAGGTTTTGGTTCCAAACTGGCGCTTGCATTTCTCCAGTATAGGCCTAATGTACGTATATGGTGTACAGGGTTCTGAACGATTCTTATTGAGATGTCGGAATACTGTTCTTAGGTTGCTAGGCACCCATATTGCTACAGCAGTTATTTGGTTGATGTGCGCCTTTAGGAGATGTGCCCAGTATGTATATATGTTTGTGTGTGTGTATGTGTGTTTATAATATTTGTGAAAAAAAATTGATTTTATCAATTTCACTCTGCCTTTCCATTAACAGTCAAGTCAGCTGAAAGCCAACATGAAAATGGACTTTGAATATCAACCTGGACATGCTGAAGTCAACACAAACATCACAGTGAAAACAGTTCAGGTGAAAATTATTTAATCATTTTATAAATATCTTGGTTTTCATGTTTATGCAGCATAGCATTATGTGTAAGAAAAAAAATGCTTTAGAGATAGGCATAGCCCAGTGAGGTTAGGGATAGAATCCTAGGATGAAAAAAAAAAGGGGAGAAGTCAAAACCCTTTTGAAGAGGGGGTTATTGAGGTGGTTTGGTCATTTAGAGAAGATGGAGCAAAACAGAATGACTTGATGGGTGTGGAAAATATTTTAATTTTCCGAAGCTATAGTTTCCTAATAGGTTTTTAATGTGTCGAAAAGAGTCAAAAATTTTATTTACAATGGATAAAACCCAAAGAGTTCCCTTTGCGCATGCCGGATGTGCGGGGGAGAGGTCGCCCGGGGGATGGGAGAGGGGGGGGAGTGTTTTGATGTATGAGGAGGCGGGGGAAAGCATGGAACCGGGAAATTGGCGTTCAGGGCCCCCTAGGATTAATATAGGCCCTCATTTCATAATAGGAAGTGTCGTAACTTTTTCCTGGGGGGAGATGGGGGAAAAGTAATTTAGAGACCTCGTAATAGGGGTTTTAAAATGATGAATAAGGTGGGCCCCGGTGACTGGCGCGTCGCCATGGCTGTGTCCGGGGAAAATTCCCTTGGGTTTAATACCTCATCGGTCTCAGATCTTAATGGAGGATCTTAATGGTATAATAATTATGAGACATTAAAGTCTTGTGAATTGAATGAAATTAAGAAAATAACGCTAAGTTGGAATGAGTGAAGTGAAATAATCGCCGCTCGAGTAAAAACCGCGACCAGTTTTTCCCCCGTCACGAGGAAAGTGAAGTTCTTTGAGTCTGACCTCTAAAGGGCCAAAAAAAGGGATACCTCTCTTTTGGGAATAAGAACCCAGTGGTTGCAGGACACGAAATGAGTGGTGAATGGGGGAAAATAAGGAGTACAATCACCCACATTAAGTAACTTTCTAGTTATGCAGATGATACGGGCCAGTTAGGTATGTTGTAATTGGAAAGGTTATGGGGTGATCCAGCTACATCAAGGACCCCCGAAAATTCTGGTAAGGGTGGGATTATATAAAAATGTTTTTCTTTGATGGATATATCCATGTTAACCTCCCCCCCCCCCCTTCTTTCAGTTCATAATACAGTCTATACAGTCCACAATTAATTAGAGCGCCGTATTGTGGGTGCTACCAACATATGGTCTTGGTAGAGGGAAAAGATTGTGAGGTCGAAGGCCCCCTCCAGTGCCCAGGGGGGTGAATTTTTCTCACATTCTAAGGGGTGACTAGGGTAAACAATTGGGTTGTCTCCCAATGAGATTATTTGTATGATATAATGTTGAGGTACATAAAGGTAATCACCCCTAAAAAAATTTTTCCCCAAAGGGTCGCCTAGGGAAAGGGGGAGGGAGGGGGGGGAAAAAAGGTTTTTTTGTGCAAAAGGGGCCCGGATATGCAGCAGGCACTGTGAGTGTGTTTTGATTGGAGTGAATGGAGACGAAAAAGTTTTTTGGGGCCGAGAGCTGTTGGAGTATGAGCAGGGAATATTTTGTGAAAGGATTTAGGAAAACGGGGTTTTAGCCGTTTGATCCGGAGGTGGGAAGACAATGCCTGCACTTTAAAGGGAAGGGTTTAGGAAAATTTGGGGTTTGGAGGGTGTCTAAGCTGTCTATTTAGCGCCCCTGCAAAAAACAGTGATTTTGTATTGGTGTGGGAAAAATGTTGAAAAAGATGATGAAAGTTTTTTCTTTCTTTTGGATTTTTCTTTCTTTTGGGTCTTCCTGCCTTGGGGGGGAAACAGCCGACGTGTTAAAAAAAAATTTTGCAAGAAAAATTATTCTGACATTGGTCACATTTGCCCTTTCCCAAAATTTAAAATTTTAAAATTTTCACATACAGTTTGCCTTGCCTTAAATTTGCATGAAATGATTTCCCGTATCAGTGGTATGTAAAAGAAAAAATTATGAAAACATTCTGCAGTAATTTTTTTTTCTAAAAAAATTCAAGCTTTTTGTATTTTTCATATCCTTTTCCCAATGCTTTGAAAAAATAATGAAGAAGATAATGGGAAGGGGGTGATAAAGGATGTCAGCTGACAGTGGTTTTTCAAGTTTGCAATGGATATGTTACCTTGGTAAGTTTCTATAAGGGATGTGCAGCTTTTATTAAACATGGGCAGGATTTTATTTTTTGTTGTTTAAAATTGACACCTATATTCCTGCCAGTTTTTGTTTTTAAATTTTGTAATACAGTGGTCTTTTGAGTCTGCATTAATACCCGTCC